AAAAAGTCCAATTTCTCAAGAGGAGATAGATGATGCTCTGTGTTGGAGACAAGGGCCTGTTCTTCTCTATCCCCTAAAGGAATTTAGGGGATAAAAGCAAAGCCAAACTCAAAACCTCCAAAGACCACCTTCCCCCACCTACGCCTCCACCCCAAACTGAACACTCAGCCCTTCCCCCACTTAGTCCTCTGCCCCAAGCTGAAAACTCTGTCCTTCCCCCATATAACCCTGCCCCATGGGCCTTAACACCCCACACTCCCACCGAACAGCCCTCTGGACACACCCCTTCCTGAGGAACCAGGGGGAGATAGAACAATGCCAAAGGGATATTCAAAACTCTCCTTTCCCCTCTTCCTTAAAGAAGTCTTCCCCAACCCTTTTTCCCTTAAGGGAAGTATTCCTAGGAGGAGGGGGTATTGGCTTCATAAAGGTCCCCTTAACTAGTTCACAGGTTAGAAATCTGGAAAGGGAACTCAAGCCACTGTTAGATGACCCTTGTGGAGTTGCAGATCAAATTGACCAACTTCTGGGGCTACAACTGTACACCTGGGCTGAACTCATGTCTATTCTCAGGAGAGGAAAGAACCGTGACCCACAGGGCCGCTGTGGTAGTCGGGGAGTGCGAGCACCCCCTGCTCAGAATGTCCTTGCAGCAGCGCATAAATTCCCAGCCCAGCACCCTCAATGGGATAACAGCAGTTTGGGCCACTGAGAAAACACGAGACCACAGAGACATGGTAATGACAGGGGTTCCGGAGTCAGTTCCTCGAACCCCAAATATTTCCTGAGCCTTTAATGTACAACTAGGGAAAGGTGAAAGGCCCGTGGAGTTCTGACTTAAGGAACAGGTAAGAAAATACGCAGGTTTGGACACACAGAACCCACTAGGACCAGGGCTGTTGAGGCTCCACTGTGTCACCAATAGTTGGCTGGACGTTGCAAAGAAATTGCAAGAGCTAGAAAATTGGAAGAACGGTCCCATAGAAGAACTTTTACAAGAGGCCCAAAACGTAGATGTAGGGAGGGATTGAGGAAAGGCAGAAGCAAAAGGCAAAAATGTCCACCCTACAACAGAGAACTCATCGACAGGGATCCCCGGGAAGTAGAACTCTAACTGCCCGGTTGCCAGACCCTGCACAGGAAATGAAGGGTTGAAACCCCAGAGGCAGGGAGGGAGAGGGAGAAGGGAAAGCAGTTTCAGGTGTGGAGAGCCAGGACATT